TCTACGTGTACCATCACTTCGTTATTGCGCCATTGAATCTGTTGTATCTGGTCCAAGGTTATGAGGTTTGAATTTCTCACTGCCGTGAATATTTCGATTACGCCGTGTAGACTCGTCAGTTACCAAAGTTTCATAGCTACATACTACCTCATACATATTAACCCTGAATATAGAAGAAACGTGTTCCTCCGAATAATTATCTATGGATAATTCAACGCGGTGTTACAGTCTAGAAGAATAATAGACAAACAAAGGTTGGTTCGTCAGTAGGTCTAAGATTATTTGTATGTTTACTCGGCATTGTGTTACATTACTTTCGTTATTCCGGCAAGAGCTGAGCTGTGATTCGCTTGTAGAAGAAGTGCGTCGTGGAGTAGATAATTTTGTGCTGGTAAAAACGTTTTAGAATATCACAATTACTTGTCTTATATAAGAATTATTAAGTAATATGTTGTTGCGTTAGTTTGTTGCGTCATACTATGTACAAGATGGATGACATTGATGATAAAAGACTCCATAAAGCAGAATATATGAGACAGTACAGAAAACGTAAAATAATAGAATGAACCTGAGGTTCCCAAAAAAATTCAAAAAACTAATGCTGAACGTACAAGGGAATACAAAGATCGTATTTACTCGGAATTGTTGTTACCTAGGAAAAGTTACATTACATTACATTACTTTACATTACATTCAGCTACCACAGACCCATCTTAAGCGTAACTAATTCAAGTTAAATAAGCAATGTCTCAATCAAACTTTACGCAATTGTAAAGCATGTATAAAGGAAATATTTAGAATAAAGCCAATATATAAACTTCCTTTCCGTATAGACGTATTTACGTCAAATTCTCCGGAACCGTGGTTCCACTGTCACTTTTTTTAATTGGTTTCTTCTCTGTCAAAAGAGGCAAACGATTTTGCCTGCAGAGCCTTTCGGATGTTTCCAAGCCAGCAAGAGTAATTGTAAGTTGATTAAACGTAACAAAATATTTCTGTGTAGTGACGTCACTCTTTTCTGTTGCAGGTGAGTCCTGTTCATGAAACTACTTGCAGAGATCATGAGGGTAAGTGTTGACCCTAATCGTGATTCACGTAGCGAACTTGCATGTTAATTTCGATTACTGCAGTTGACGTATTTAAATCGCTCGGATTATAATCGACGTACTTAAAATTCGCGCCACTGATCTCACAGTTAAGTACTATTCTTCTGTCTTAGCAGATCTGTGTTACGATAATGCCAGTTCTACGTAACCCACATGTTATTTTCGTGTCCGTATTTCTGTTGGCAGCTGATCCCTTCTTTAACCATTTGAAGCCAAAACTCTACAAAGAAATATTTAATACCTCCTATAACAGAAATATATTTTCCATTTTAATATTATCCTTCCATGGTCTCTTCAAGATCTGCCACTGAAATTTTATAAGCCTACTCGATTTGTTGTCTCTCTCTTGCCTGCTGTATGGTCTACTCATCTTACCCTTCACGATTTTAGGAATTTCATAATATGTGATGAAACTTCAAGACAGTAACACTAGAATGTCTGATTTAAAATCATCGTCACTTAACCTAGATGAATGTAGAGTATAATCTCTCTAGTTGAAACACCATTGGGAATTTCACGTCAAGGCGAGCATCGGAATTTTAGGGGCTTGTGAAATTTTAAATCAACTTAGTGAGTGCTGTTTCGTGATCTTGTGTTTCCATTTGTCAGAATATATACACAGACCTTCAGCCTCACCACACGTTCTGTTCACTGTCGTTAGTAGCATTTTTACGGTTTAAAATCAGACTGGAAATTTTTGTAACACGAAAATTCCAGCGAATGTTTGTAAGTTTCTGCAAACAATACCAAGCCGCGACATCTGATTTCGGTGCTTCTGGTAATTGTCGCTGTTCTTTTGATAAACGTTGATTTTAAGGGTGGGTCATATAGAGGCGCTGTCGGGTGGCGACTTAACTCGGTTTATTCCGCATAAGCGATTTCGCATGCCCGGTCTGTGCGGTAACTTCTGCTCTACACAAACGATGCACTGCCTGTCTCGTCTCTGGTAGCCAGCTACTTGTTCCTCCAGTAACCCTCTCATCGTTCAGCTGCTGCCAGGTTTACTCATCTGATAATTCCTCTGGCAAGTCCCTACCTCCTCTTCCTATCCACCTCCTGATACTCCATCTCTGTCCCTCTTGTAAATAAGGCACGTTAATTATGGACTGTAATTGGTAGAGAGTTGGATAATGTAATGTTGTTAGGATACACAGAAGCTTTGGCCTTCTGTTAAGGGAGCTAGCTGCAGGGTTGAGAGGAAGTCTGCGCAAGGATCCGCGAGAGATGTTCTCATCCCAACCCCCTCCTCCCTCTCTAACCTCCTCGCTAACTGCCAGAACTATGAACCACTGCAGACGCTTGTATCACGTAGTTTCAAAATCTCTGTGTCGGTAAAACTGAATTAGTAGGGAATGGGAGAGAAAACGAGGGGTGGGGGGGTTGCTACCCCTTGTGCATCCTCTGTGGACTCCTCCCTCCTACCTTGCAACATCTCTGTCCATTAACCTCCTACACTTTGCTCCTTATACCTTATGAAGATAACTAACCCCATGAGAGATGAAACTGAAGGGATGCGTTGGTGGCTAGAGGGGGTGGGGGTGGGGGACTCTCTCTGTCTGTACGTGTACACGAATTTTGACATCAGGGATTACGAGTGTTTATAGAGAGAATGCCATGCGAGGGGCTTCGCCAGAACACGTAATTGAGTTACACGGTCAGCACCAAGTGTTTTTTTGTTGTCTGCCTCAGTGTAAGTTTCACTGAGCCAGCTTCACGTCCTGACGCAGGAGCGGAGTTTAATTGGATGTACCGCTGTGTACCGATTCTCTGCTTTTCATTGGTAATGTTAGTGGTACGACGTTTGTAGGCGCTTATGTGAAGCTTTTGAGGCTGGATCATTTCCGCTGACTACAGAATTATTACTCACATTTATATTTCTATAGGGATACGTGCGTAGAAATATAGGAAAACAATAGAACACGGCATTCCGTCAAAGCCAGTTATTATAAATCGTCTTAGGCGGAGCTGGGCAGTAATGTAGCACGCACGGGTATGCGAGAAATGCGTGAAGATTGTGGCCGGCCGGAAACCTTGGAAAGGGGGGGGGGGAGACCTTTTATGATTCCTGGGTCCAGATGTTGAAATGTTTAAATTAAAGCCACGGAGTGTGATTGGATTAATCTGCATTGAAATGAGGCTCAGTGGCGGACTTCTGTGAAAACGGTAATGATGTTTTTGTTCTATAAGAGGCTGTGATTTGTTTCACCAGCTGAGCGACTATCATTTTGTGATTCACGGAGTTTAAACACTGAAATGAACAAAATTATGTTTTATTTATGTTTATTTTTCAATTACTAATCAATTAGACTGTAGGTGTTATTTTTATTAGATTTTTAGGTTTCGTAGTGATGTGATAATTATGGTGAAGTGTTCGTATTGTTTGCCTCATTTTAATGACATCGTTCCAAAAGCAGTTTTTGTGTGTGCCTGCAGATTTCCTCTGCTGATCCTGCCGACTCATCCCGAAATTTTTGTTTCGATTTTCAGTTTCGTGCCTACTTGTCTTGTTAGGACCAAAATGTGGCCTCTAACACGACCTTACATCCACGTTGTAGGCACAAAGACTCACTTTCAAGCTAACACGCTCAGTAAAGGCTTCGCCCTATGTGATTTTAGTAGGAATTAATGCATTTTCTCTTATTGATTGCCGTGATAACAACATTTCAGTTCTAAAAGTGAAATTACGTGGTTCGATAAATGACTATTCAGTTAAATCGTCTTATTTATTTTAATCACTAAATGTGTAATCTCCCTTAAATATTGAAATGTTACATGTAGGAGTCTGTGTCATAGGCTTAATTTTCTTTAAATTAAAGCCTATTTGAACCTCTGTTAGGTTAGGTTGCCGTAAGGAAATTTGTCTACAAGAAAATCCTGAAAAAACATGAAAATTTACCTGTTGTTTTGTGTGGGTGTCAAACCTAGTCACTAATCCTAAGGGAGGAGGCAGCCAGATTCTCTGAAACGTCGGTAAACGTGTACCACACTACACCACATTTCGCGAAAAAGCCGTGCGTGTAGGGCCTACGCAATTATCAGGATGGTGTGTTGAGTTTTCTTCCTACAGATGACACTAAAGTGTTTTGAGGCCAAGGTTAAGTGCCTCCGTGCCTGCTGGACGTCTGTAGGCCTACAGAAGTTTGAATCTAATTAACTGACGCAACAGTCTCGTGTAAGCAACTGAAAATGTCGTTAAATAACCCAAACACGACCTGTGAAATTTTATCGCCCTGATGATGGAGGCAGTAATCACCTCTGAAATGTCGGTCAATTTCTGCCAGACTGCAGAACGCAGCATTCCAGACGACAATCATCCTAAAGAATGAATTTCTGGTGAAAAATGTATTTTTTTTTTAATTGTGACGTCAGAGCGGTCGCTTTGCTTGGGGAAATCACTAGTTCCCCAAAAGCTGGGCGCCGTCTGTCAGGTCTGGCAGGCGAATCAGGGCGTTGGACACTTCCTGACCGCCCGAGAGCGAAGCAGCTCACAAAAGTACAATCAATGGCACGTGGTTGGTCCGTTCACAGGTACCCCCCCGTGCCTCCTCGCACCCGGAGCTAGTTCAAACTCCTCCTCCGGGCCACGGAATGAGCGTAACGATCTCGTGCCTCAGTTCTCAAGGCCATCGGTTCAGTAAGAAGAGATGAGAATGGAAACTCGCAGATAAAAGTGTTTAAGGATTTCCTATTCGCGCGAGATATATTTCTTTTTCCGAGGAACAGGAGATGAGATGAGTTTTACGTAAGATTCGAAAGAGGCGGTGTCGAATGCACATGTTGGTGCTTCAACGGGGAGGGGAGATGATCCGCAATGTTGGGGGGGAAGGGGAGGGGAGGGGACAGTGAAGAAACTCTCGCGGGGAGAGAGAGATTTCAGTCTTGTCGCTTCGCACAGACGCACTCACGCACATGCTACACGTAGGTCACGTTTCCATCCGTGTGTGTGCACAAATATAGCGCTTAGTTCACGTTCAATTGTTTCTCGTATTTCCGCGTCTGGCCACTTCGTTTCGTGTCGGTGAGCGCTGTAAAATGTCGTGTGATTCTCCGGTGCGTGTAATTAATCGAGAGTTTTTCGAGCTTTTATTATATGTGTGAGATGGTTGTGCCTGTGGAAAGCTACGTATACGCGTTCTTCAAGGACGACACTCAATCTATTGAAGACAGAAACGAAGGGAGACAGGCGATAGAACCATTGTTGTGACTGTCTCGTCAACAATCAGCCGACACTGGTTTAATATGTGTTGAAGACGACAATTGTGCTTTTCTCATCGGTGATGTATTGTTAAAGGTCTGGAAGGGGTGGTGTTGACTCGAGCAGCCAATCAGAGAAAAGCATAAGGATCAAATACGAAAACAAAAGAAGACGTAAGACCGTGATGGTGGCGGTTGGCATGACAAGGTTCCTTCAACATTACGCTGGTTACTTTGGGTATAGAAAGGGGGGAGTGGCCATGAAACAGTGAACAGAAGAGCATCGGAGGCGCGCACGTCTCTTGTCTCTCTCCACCCCACCCCTCACCCCCCCGCGTCTATCATCTGTGTCGGAGAGGGTTTTTACTTTTGTGTACATTTTTTTATTTGTGTGTGTGTGTTATTTGTTTGACGAAACAAGGAGGAACTGGGATTGCCGGACAGGAAGGCTGTAGTTTCTGTTGTCGCCGTGTTGAGCGCGGAACGCACAGTCACAATGCATTGAAGAAAAGTGTCTCTCATTTTGTGCTAAGTAACTATCAGCGTTCTTCGCACGTGCTTTAACGTCACGGTAAGTACACGCAGCCATTTTAAGAAACAAGATTTACATATTTACACACAACGATTACATTCGATTGCCATCTTGAAGCAGGTTACCTCGCGTGTTTGTTTTGTCCGTGATTTATGTTTCATTTAAATTTGTACTCTTTGGTTACTCGTGGATCAGAATCGTTCGCTTTCACGAAATTCTTCGGATTCGAAAACTTTATTACATATTTGTGTTTGTTAAGTGAGGTAAAACGTTGTTTTTGCGATTCTACGTTTTTACGCCGAGATAAATGAAAAAAATGTTTGCGGGCATTAAAACTTGAAGATATTTGAGGTTCTCACGGCCAAGATGATGTCGGTTTTGACAGTCCAGAAGACGACGATTAACAACGCGTAAAAAGTCACTCTGTGGCCTATTCAAATTTATATAAAAACATATTGAATAAGTCTTTTATACTTCACAGTTGTTAAAGAATGCTGCATGCATGCTTACAAGAGTTATTTGTCGGATTTTAGACGTTCGCCGTTCTCAGAATAGTGTATATTTTTATCGGTGTGCATTTTCATAAACCTAATCGCCATTGAATTAAGAGTAATCAAAGAAATTCGTTAGCTAAGTGAAGTGTTAGCGATAGTCATGCCACGTTAGTAAAATCATATTCCACAATCTTTTCAGTTGATTTAAAAATGTCGTATGAGTACACCAGGAACCAAACGAGGGTGAATATTTAATGTTTATAAACCTGTTTTTAATTTAACAACGAGCGTCCTCAGCGCTGAAAATTTCTTTCTGTTTTACTTTAGAATAGGCCTATTAGTGCGGATTCAAATTTTTACCTAAGGACATTTAGATTCATAGGATTCTAAAACACGAATCTAGAAACTCGGCCCATAACTTTGGCAGGTAACGAGGATCTGGAAGGTGGAAAATGAAGAGATTACGACGTTTCTGATTGCCTGAACAGTCGACAGTTCTAATAAACATCTTCTTTGCCAAAGTAAACATAATCCTACGAAGACAATTAGAATATGTATAAGCGAAATCTTGGTACTCCGAGTGTTTTTTTAACGGAGTAGTATGAGGTCCGACTTGATGAATTCGTTCTTCTGTAGCCAAATGAACTTTCCTTACGTGAATTTCAGTGTTTCGTAAGTTCAACTTGAGATAATAATAACACATACAGTGATGTAGTGGCCCATTTAAAGCCAGTCCCACATATATTTGAGTTTTTGCTCATGTTTTTGAATCTAAGCGATTTCGCTGTGACACTTAATTGTTTTTAAATTATATTCCAGGGAATTTAGTCATGTTGTAAGCAGTATTTCGCACGGCATTGCTCAACTGTCTTCTTTCAGAGCGTGCTGTAATTTTCCCTTGTTCGTATCCTTCGTATGATAAGCGTTGATAATGATTCTAAACCCTGAACATTCTTACAGTAATTTATATCTAGCGATCATATGTTTTATGGAACAAAATTTATCATTCTTATGTTTTACATTTATATTAGACGACAGTTTCTGATAAAAAAAAGATGGTATAATATTTTTTTATGCATTTAAAACTGCACTTTTCTTACAGTTACAGTGTGTTACAGATAGCGTAAGATATTAATTTTAGACAGAACTATTGAAGAACTCCATCTGTTGTAGCAATCAGACAACCTTCATTTTATATTTATGGATTTCGTATGATTCTCATTATAAACAGCGATCATTTCCTTAAACAGCGTTAACCAATTGATATTTTTAATGGTTAAGTGCTGTGTTTTCTTCGCGGTACGGACTCAATTCTTAAATATTATGTACGTAGCGCGTGTCTCATTATAAACAGCGATCATTTCCTTAAACAGCGTTAACCAAATCAGTTGATCTTCGTAATGGTAAAGTGTGGTGTTTTCTTCGCGGTACGGACTGAATTTTTAAATATTATTTATACGATCTTCGGGCTTCAAGGCGTTGGTTTGTGGAGTTAAAGCCGGCGGGGAATGTAGCAATGGCCTACAAGCTGTATCATTTTGTGTTTAGACTTTAACCTCTGCAATTTTGTACAGCCGTTGATAAGTTACAGAAAAATTTGTCCCTTGAGCGACATTTAGGTCAGTTGATCCGTGGCTTCCAACAGTTAACCGCGGATGACAACTTACATCTGCTGGGCATACAATTGCGTGTTCTGTTCTTTGCCTGCGTTCTTCCACACAATCGAAATAAAATAAATTATAGACGGATCTTGTGAGCAAGGCTGAGCAACTGTTAGGTTCTCAAGAAAGGACTCTGTTCCGTGGAGTTGTTTAAAAACTGTCACTACAGCTTATTAAAGTATTTCTAATGCAACGCAGAAACAAGACGAAACATATTTGCTAGTAAAAGCAGCCTCGTTTTTATAACACCGCCTGATATCTGTCAGCTGATGGGTTAAATGTTAACAGCTGCTTCGGAGCGGGCAGAATCCAAGCACGGTACGCAGTTGCAAGGTGTTCTTCGCCGTCTCAGTAGCCCGTGTTTTAACGTCTTAAAAATCCAATGGTAACTATATGTACCGCTTCAATATCATCGCATTTTGCCAACGAAATGTTTTACCTGTTTCCTATGAACCTCACAATAAACAGCGATTAATATTTCCTTAAACAGCGTTAATCAGTTGATCTTCGTAATGGTAAAGTGTGGTGTTTTCTTCGCGGTACGGACTGAATGCTTAAGTGTTATTTAGACGAGCGTCGGGCTTCATATTTGTTTTTTGTTACGGTTCAACAGTAGTAAGATATCAAAATTAAATTTACGAATAAATTAAGAACATGTGAAATTTGTTGGTAATGTTTGTTACCATATATTTAATTCCTACCCTCCCGTTTGCTGTCTAGAAAAATATTCATGAAGTGGTGTTTAAGATCAGGGACAATTTCGCGGTTCTTAACTTTGATTATCAGTTTAAAAAAAAATTCCGCCTTCATCTGCTAAGTAACGCCTTTTACCTGAGATATTTCCCCACAAATGTATGCATTATTTTATGTTTCCCCGTGTTTTATTATAAATACAGTTTATTAAATTTCGTTTGGTGTTCATGAATGAGCAATTAATTACGTAATTAGGTCTGTTGCTGAGTTGAGCGCCTCTGGATGAAGACGTATTAGACGAAACATGGCTGGAAAACGTCACTTATTCTCGATATCAGTAATAGATGCAGCTTTTAACCTCAGTTCCCACTGGATATGAAGCTTTGTGGGCCCCGTAATGGATAAGCGTGGTGATGGAAAAGAATGGCTTAAGTCAGAAGTGATTTGTAATGATTAAGGCCCTACTTACATAGCACCAATTGCGCGTAGAGATTCGTATTTCCTTTTTTGAGAATGAATCGAATTTCAGGCAGTGAGAATGGTGAAGTAATTTTTGTGTCAACATGCTGATCCGAGGAGGAGTTGGATACGTCAGATCGTGTCCTTGACATCTCCCCTCCCCCTCCTCCGACCCACATGTGGGAGTGATGGTGCTGGTGGTGGTTACGCTCCACACATGTTTAAGTTCCATAAAAAATTCTCAGCTGCGTTCTCTGTACGTGTGACTTTGTAATCCTCATGACGGTATTAACAAGTTAAGTCGGCTTAGATTTCCCGTGATTTCATAGAGTCGACATTGTTCCTTCGTAAAGTCAATACGTCTTAACAGAATTTTTATCTAATATTTTTTTTGTGGACCATTTCTACGATTCTTTGCAATGCCGAAGGACTTTGCAGAAACGTAAGGCAGAAGTGGCTTTATGTCTGCAAACTTTTTACGCTTAATGAACGTTTTGCCAGTACTAACATTCATCTCCTTAAGCTTAAGAAAAATCAGCATTTTTTTTTTCCCCACACAAAAAATAAATTTACCGCTAGTAATTAATTACGCTGGAAGATATAATTATATAAACTTCACGACTTCTGCTCGTAGCAACAAACATTTAATATTAAACTAGAGTCATAATAATGGTGTCATTATCAAAATTACTTTTGTATATTTCTTTAGTCTCTGATAGATAATCATTAAAAGGCAGACAAGAAACAATTTGATAATTATTCTTAAACCACGTTTTCTTATGCATCGTTTACGGATTAAATCATTCTGCCCTGTTCCCTTACACAGGCCTAATTATTTCACTGAATTTGTAACAATCTACACGTGAAATATTTTACAAATTGTGGACCTACTTAATTTTTCACGAACCTCTTAATGAACGGGCAATGTTAAGTCGGATTTTAATATTAATTATGGTTGAATTCTGCCATCAGACGATGTTTAACCATTGTCGTATCTTGAAGAAGAATAGCCAAAGGTTGATTAAAGAACCAGAATTTTTCTGTGTATGTCATGGGAGTTATTTTTCAGTAAAGGTACGTAGATCTCGTGACTTTGAGAAGTAGAAAGCAAATTAGCGTTGACTTTTATATCCTGCGTATAAAATTTATATCCTAATCTCAAAGGAGCGGTCGTATGGTATAGAATTCTAGATTTCATGTAGTATTTTGTGTTACTATTTAATATCAAACGAATATTGAAACTTGCAAGATGGAAGACTTGAATTGTATATGTATGTGTGCTAAATGTTCTTCTGGTTATAAATTTAATTACAGGCAAAGATACTGTTATTAATTATCAAATGTTTTTAAGAACTTAAAAAAATATTAGATGATCTGTCGATTACAATTACACGAACTGTTTGTAGGAGCTCAGTAGATTACATATTGTAACAAACTCTTCCGACAGACAATGAGTAGAATTAACGTACATTGTAATGAAATAAAACAGTTGTATTCAGATTTATTATTAAGATGACAGGAAGAGATAAGTCTCTCCAAGGGGCATTTAAATTTTTTGTCTGTCTTTCAAATTGATGAAGAAAATTAAATCTGGACTCGTGTTGGATTATGTAGGAGAGGAAATTCTTAACAGTTTCTGTACACAAAGTTTGTTTTTAAAATTTTCAAGAATAAAGTGGTCTAGGGAAGGTAAGAAGTGATGTATTGTGCGAACATTAAAAAAACAATGGTC